AATGTAACTCACTATAATTCCAATTAAGGAAGGCTGGAGAAAATGTGTATCTGCAAAATATCTTTTGATTCTAGGACATTGAAGTGTTGGGTGGTCCCTGATTAGAGGTGGAAGAACATTCATATCTGTTTTCTCATCATAAAGAGCATGGTGTTGGAGGGGTGGGCTGTGGCTCAGTGGTAGACCCCTTGCCTAGCATGTATAAATCCCTGGGTTCAGCCTTGACAGTTAAAAAAAAATGAAAATTTTAGGGAGAACTTTACGATAGAAAACCATGTTGGCTTTATATTCTAATCATCTCCCTGTGACTGGTCTTCCTCAGTCTCCAGCCAGAAAAGCTTTAACTATGAGTAATGTCACTTTGTCCCATGTATTACAGAAATAGGGACATTTGTCATGGAACCCTAGAAACAAATTAACATTAGCGTATGTTTACAAAGAACATGATACCACATCTATGTAGAATACAACTGCACCTCATGCCTATTTCAGAAATGTCGCAATTTCCTCCCATTCCAAATCGTACTCCTAAAATTCCTGCCTCCCTTCCTCCTACTAATTAGACAGAAAAGTCTCTTTCCCATATTTGCTGGTTTGAATGGCCCTGCCCCAAAGTTCACGTGTTGACACTTAATCTCCAATCCCTAGGTTAATGGTATTTGTTGGTGGAGCCTTTGGGAAGTAATTAGGATTAGATGAGCTCATGAGGACAGGGTCCCCACAGGCACTAGTGACCATGCTGGTGTGCTTGCTTGACATCACCAGGTGATGCCCTGCACCGGGTTATAATGCAGCTGGAAGACCCCACCAGATGCCAAGGGGATTCTGAAACCATGCTCTTGGGCTTGCCAGCCTTCAGGATCACGAGTCAATAATCTGCTATTCTTTCTAAATTCCTGGGTCTCAGATATTTTGTTATCGCAACAGAAAATGCACGGACAATATCTAAATCAAAGGTGTGTGATCTCCTGGTGCACTGGCAGTCCTCATGTTCCTATAATGGCACAGGCTTTGTTAAACGAGAGATGCTTAAGGAAAAGAAGGTGATCACTGACGCTTCCACGTACTCTGGTCCACTCACGTCCATCTTATTTCTCATCTGCCGGGGTCTGAGTTGGCCTTTGTCAATTCAGAGAGGGCGAAGAGGTGCAAATCCTGGGCACGGTAGCTGTAATTTAGTTGGGAGGTGGAGGATGCTGTGAAGACACAGATTTTGAAATGGAACTGGAAATAAATAGCTCTTTTGTGTAGATTGTTGCCACTTTCTGTTGTTGGAAGTAGGAGTCTATTCCGTTGAATAAAGCTTTGGTTTCCAGCATAACCCTTTCCTTGTTCACATTTGACTGGACAGAATTGTCTATTTAAAGTAAATTGGGCAGAAACAATTACTGGGGTGAATCCTGGGGAAAATCTGCCATCTCCGCTCATTCCCGCCGCTCTGCTGCCCCCCTGTGCCGATTTCGTGCTGTTTTACCACCTCAGGGCCTCACTGGATTCTCTGATTCTGTCTCCACCTTTCCTAAGCAAATCCGGTCATAGCCAACTAGGACGGTTCGTGCTTTCAGCTGTGTAACAAGCTCTGTAACCAAGTCTCAGTGTGATGGTTTCCCGCTATGGGGTCCACTTCCTAGGTCCACAGCGGCTGCCCCTCCCATGAACCCACCAAGCGAACTGCCCGACCCCAAATCCTAAACTTGCTCTTTCACTCGTGCCCAGGATAGGCTCCACCCCTGGGATAACAGTGTAATCTGTTTCTTCCTCACTCTGATGATCGGGTCCTTCCCGCCCTGAGAGACCCCAGGGGCCCCTCTTCTCCCAGGAATCCTGTCCTTCCACTCCAACACAAGGCTCCTAACACAAGCAACCCTGTGCAACACAATGTGCTGCCAAGGACGGTGAACACAGAGCAGACACCCAACACTTAAGTTTAAAGAACCTCATAGGCAAATAATAAAAGGTCCATAAAATATGTCTGTCATCGTTATCAGCTTCGTTAGCATATAATGTTCCACAAGCAGGAACCTTTGCTTAACTGTCCTATTGGAAGGAAAAAGCAAAGGATAATAGAAATTAAGCCTTAGGTTGAGTACAGGCTCCTTCACTGGGTGTGTGAGCTCAGATTTTAGGAATAATAACAGTACCCACCAAAATGATTGCTTTCAGGATTAAAGGAGATTATACATAAAGGAATTCAACATGCACTGTATATAGAGTTTATTTCTATGTTAGATGTTATAAGTACTTCTATCTTTTGAAACAAAAGCTTTCATAAGCTGATACAACTTTACTTGTCAGGGAAGAACTGGCAGCTAAATGCTAGTGGTTTGCATCCATTACTGCAGTTGCTGACACTTATAGAGGATTTCTTTTGTTCATTTTAGTTTAAACAAAATTAACCACATGTGGAATGAATTTGCTTAAAAGAAATGTACACTACTTCCTGTTGTAGTTAAGTCTAAATAAGAAGCAGAACTAACATGGTCAACTAGCATAGTTGAGGAAGAATTCTACCTTACAGCTGAGTTTACAAAACAATTTGGTATCACTGTGCTCTGCTGAAATGTAAAATTTCAGGCTAGCATTGTTTGTTGTTGTTGTTGTTATTTTTCTGGTAATAAAAATAATGCATTTCCATTAAAAAATTACAAAAGACAGCAAAGACTTAGGAACACTGATCATCTCACGGGTAAGGGCGAATCCTCAGTGTTTGTAAACACATGAACACATGAGTCTTTTTCTCTCCAACCCAGTGCTGTCCACTAGGACTTTGTGTAGTGATGGTAACCTCCTTGACCAGCACCGTCCAGTATGAGAACCACCAGCCATGAGTGGCCTTAGGGCAACTGACAAACTGAATGTTTTTGCTTTTCTTCTGTGTGTGTGTGAGACAGGGTCTTGCTATGTAGTTCAGGCTGGCCTTGAACTCACGGTGATCCTCCTGCCTTAGCTTCCTGAGTGCCGGGTTGAAAAGCTGAAGTTATAATTCTGCTTCACAGCAATTAAATTTATCATGTGTTATTTTAAAGTTTTTTCAGCTTTCTTTGACAAATGAACATTGTATATATTCAAGGTATATGATGTGATTGTTTGATATAAGTACACATCGTGAAATCCTTACTACAATCAAGTTAATGAATAGATCCATAACCTCACATGGTAACATTTGGGGCAGTGTGTACAGATGTGTGTATGATATGAGAACATGGGTCACTCTCCATTTCCAGTGTACAGTATAGTGTTGTGAACTGTAGCCATTTTGTTCTACATGAGACCAAAACGTTAGGTAACTGAAATGTTGTACCTTCTAATAAACATCTCCCCACCACAGCCTCTAGGAACCAGCATTCTGTTCTGTGCTTAAGTCCAACTTGTTTTAGATTTCTCCAGATTCATTCATGTTGTTGCAAATGTCAATGTTTAATGGTTGAATAATATTCCACTCAGTCTACATACACCATATTTTTATCCAGTAACGGACAGAACTTAAATTGCGTCGGTCAGATGTGGCTAATGACTACCATACTGGTCAGTGTAGCTCTCAGCAGATGTTTTCACAACACTGGGGATGTAACATTACACTGGGAATATTTCCCCACATTATTAAACATCCTGTGAAAACATGATTTCAATGCCTCCTTAGTTCACTAGATAAAGGTATTATTATTATTCAACATCCCTAATTATTAGGCAGTTAGATTTTTCCATTTAAACTCCCATAAATAAAGCTACAGTAAACCACTTTATAAATAAACCTTCAACTACAGCCATGATTACTTCCTGAGGATAGATCCCAAAGGAGAAATTACGAGGTGGAAAGATAGGAACTTCTTTGAGACTTGTTTCTGAAAAGCTGGACCTGTTACAGCGGTTGTACTTCCACCAGCAAGTTCTCAGAGCTCTGTCTCATTACACTCGTGTCAACAGTGAGCACTCCCCAGCTATCTTCTTTTGAGTCCATGATTAATTGATAAATTAAAATGATAGCAAGTGGCTGGATTTCCTGCCGTTGATCGGGGGTCATGATGGTCATGCAGATGGACCATTCAGGTCCCCAGGAAGACAAGTAGACCAGCCGCATCTGGGTGATGGCAGACAGTCCATCCACTGCCTCCTGCAGGGTCAGCCTGAGCTGCAGGAAGCTGCTTCCCCTAAGGTGAGCCGTCCTGGGCAGCCCACACCCAGGACCTGAGCGACACCCAGGTGGGTAGAGCAGCCACTGTGCCAACTGTTCGCTCCAGAGCTCCTGGCCGGCACAGCTGAGCTTGTTAAACCTACATCACAGTGGGCATCTCCACCTGCCTGACTGCCTTTCCTCTTCCCACAGTCTGAGTCTCTAACAAACACCTTAGACCCAAACCCACTTCAGCATATGCTCCTGGAGAACCCAACTTGCAGCAGAAATGATGTTGGACTTTTCATATTTATTTGACTTTTCTGTTGTTTGTGCTAAGGATTATGAAGTCACGTCCAGGCAAACAGAAAAAAATGTTGACATCAAAAGTACATTTCAATTGAAAGATTTGTTTTATTTGAAGCAGCAGGAAAAGTAAGATAGGTGCATTTGGTTTAAAAGTTAAAATTTTCCACATAGGAAAACACCTTGGATAAAATCTTTTAAAGCACAAAGTGGAAAAATACAATATGCAAAAGTTTAATATTTACCTACAAAGAGAACATAGTGGCAAACTAGCCTGAGTAGTGAAAACATGACGCTGTCTTATCTTATGTATTTCTTTAGGACATAAAACAACTTCCCATTGTGCTTTCTCTAGATAGATCCCCACAAACCCTTCAGGACTAAATGATTCTTCTGAAATTTCAGGTAATCTAAGATGAGGATGGTTTTAAAAACCAACAACCCAACAAGGTATTTTATTGGTGAAGAAACTCAACAAACATGAAAATATGGTTCTGGAGGGACAATCGCAGTTCTTCCAGCCGTGTGAGGTCCCCTCACACATCACAGTTCCAGTTAACCCCATGGCTCCTCTTCCTTACAGCGCTGCTCACAGATGACCTCACAGATGCAATTATCTGTGCCAAGAAAATTGTTAGGGAGACAAAAAGGATGAACTATTGGTAAGAGTCCTTCCTTGGGCCACGCGGGCGGGCGTAAGCAGAACCTATAACGAGTCTGAGCATCATGGCTGTGGTGGTCTTGGACAAAGTGTCCTCTGCAGAGGGGTCCAACGAGGACCATGACCTTGTCCATCCACTTCCTCATCGGTGTGCAGGTGTTCAGGGGAGACAGAAGAAGGGACGAGTGTGGGGAGAAGAGAGATATTGAGTCAGAAAGATGTGCATCTTCACAAGAAGGTGTTTCAAATAATTGGAGAAAGAGGTACTTTCTTTTTTTTGTATTAAATTCTTTTATTGGTACATTGTAGGTATACAACACAATTACATTTCTCATTGGGAATTGTACCTTTACATAATGCATC